GAGAATTTCCATTTTTGGAATTTTCAATAAAATCAATACATTGAGACTGTAAAAGAAGGCCTTTAGCACATATTTTATGGTTGCTTTTAATCTTGCATCAATAGTGAACTGCATACTGTATGCAGACTTGCATGCATGTACAAATACGCCAGCCAGTAAATAGTTGTGCTAGTACTAGTATTGAACTACAAGAAGCGAAGACAGTTGCAAGCCTTTAATTAGGAGTGTGATGTAAAGCTTTTGGATGGGACAACAGCTGCACAGGAGGGGCCCCACATTAGATTTTTTTTGTAAAATGTGTGTCATGGGGCCCAAAATTCCTGGCACCGCCCCTGTCTGTTTTATGACACAATTACAAAACGGATAACTCAATTCTGGTTTAGCAAAAAAGCTTAAAGCTAGGGATGAAACTAAAAGACAGCTAAGAACTGTATATCTACTTATAATCAGTTTATTATCTGCATTAATGTAGGAGTATGCCTCAGGTAAACCTTTAACTATATGACCACTAAAATGCAATATATGTGTGCCATATTTAATTTTAATATAACTTGCATGGCCTGAGGCCCTTCATACAATTTTATGTTGCTGAAATGCCAGCCCCTGTGGGAGTGTGTGGCCCCCATGTGGGTATACTTCATGGCCAAGCACCATAAGCAGCTACATTTTGGGTCTCTCAGCCACAGCACTAAAAATCCCCAGAGACTGAATCCTCTTCTTTTGCTGTAATGGCACCATCCGACCAAATTTTCCACTTTTAACAAAGGAAATACTGTAGAAATAACTTTTTTATTTTCAGATTTCTACAAAAGTGACTAAACACATTCATGTTTCCTAGAAGATGAACCGTTCAATTCTATGTGTTAATATTGAATTACATTTTGAGACATTGCCAGGGAGTGTCAAATCTTAAAAAGGTACATTTTGTGACATGTCTAGTTTAAGATAGGGGCTAATTCCCTGCAGAAGAAAGATAAGGGACCAGAGTAGATCTGAGAAGAGCTGCGGGCTGCTATCATGAAGAAACCTTAAACATCAGCCTTTTGAGTTCAAACCAAAACTAGAAAAGTCTGTGTATTTTACAGTTACATTACGCCAGCAGAAACCACAAAGTAACAGCAAATACTATCTGACAGGCACAAGCAAATAAAAGGTAGTTGTAAAAAGTGACACTAGTCAGAAATTACACAAATTCTTAACTGACACTAAAGCGTGAAATAGAGCGACAAAAGAAAATGAAACTAAGAGCTCCAGTTCAGTGGAAGACAATAGCGACTATAGTCATACTTTTTTTGTCATACTCAAGATTTATTGTGTCTACAGCAACAATAAGGCAGTGATATATTCTATAATTTGCTAAAAACTAACTATGATAGTGTCATCTGCAAACATCACACATTGTTGTGACTAATCCCACAGATAACAAGAGTATGAATCATTACTTTGCAATTCAATTTGATTGTATTCAATTTGATTTGCAATTCAAATTGATTGTATTCAATTTGATTTGCAATTCAAAAGGTAAGACTCAAAGTGAAATTTCTGGGTAGTAAGCTGTTGCAGTACGGACATCCCTCTTTACATTGGTAGACCAAATTACTTTAATGACAGTTCATACTGTTCAAACACTTGGTTTTTAATGATTCTTTTTATTGGTTTTAGTTGCTATACACTATACTGTGATTATGACTGGGTATCTTAATTCAATTAGTTTTCAACTTCAAGATTTTGGTGATGTACAAACTTGACCTGGATGGTCTAATTTTTGATGAACTGATTCTTTGAAAATAAAACCCAAAAGCATCTGTTAATAATATATATAGTAAATCTATTTCCATGGCAATGGCTGTGCATGTACCGGTATCTGGTAACTCCTTCAAACTTTCAAGCTACATTTTTGTTTTTTCAGCATTATTGCTAAAAACATCACTGAACAATATCTGATTGGGTTTGATTTTAAGGGCTAAGCAAAATTGTTTTTAATTGACTGGATCAGGAGATTTTGACTTTGGCAACAGCCGCACATTCAGATGTAGTAGTAGGCCAGCTCCTTTAAGTTTTTGTTGTAATCTGTTTGTAGTTAAACTGCTGAAACACACATTACCAATGACAGAAATAGCCTACAGTTAAGGGACTTGCTGGAGTTTGGATTAAAGAACTGAGATGATCCACCAAGCCAGATCAGCAGGACCGGCCCAACACAGTGGGTGCGGTTGCTCCAGGAGGAGAGGGTAGGGAGCTGAAGAGGAGTCATGCCGGCTCAGCTTGGATTTAAGGCTGCTACTGGCTAATGTACGGTTTAAATGAAATGGGACTGGCCAAACAACAGGAAAATCAGACTGTTTTGCCCCATCTTTACAGAGACCTGCCCCATCAAAATCCCGAATCAACAGAGCACAGGGCGAGAGGAGGTGGACTCTGTGTT